TTTTACAATCTATAAGTTAATTATATAACATGCTACATTTTGATGGTAAAATATAACCCTTTAAACCAGGGGTGTCGACCTCAATTCCTGGAGGGCTGAAGCCCTGCACAGTTTAGTTCCAACTCTGCGCCAACACGCTTACCTGTAGGTTTCAAACAAGCCTAAAGGACTCAATTAGTTTGATCAGGTGTGTTTAATTGGGGTTGGAACTAAACTGTGCAGAGCTGTGGCCCTTTTGGAATGGAGTTTGATACCTGTTAATGGCTAAGTATTAAACATTAAATGAACTCAGCAAGTGAAATAAACGAATGTGAATGCATCAGGATATAAAGCACTATTTATCAGCTTGACATTCTTAGAAAATATTTGCATATATACCCAGTATATATTAAAGATCAGGGAACAAAACAACAAGCGTTACACAGCCCCATAAATGTCAAACTTGTTTATAACTGAATCACATAATGGCCTACAGTTGAAATGCTGAAAATTGCTCTAACATGTCAAAACCTAGTGATTATTTTGAGAGCACTACCGACAATTAGTTTATTAAATTAATTGATGTGACTAGTTTATCAGAGCATATAGACTAAGAATTGAATAAATTGCTTTATTCAATGTGCAGCAGGAAAAAGTCTGCATGTAGTCATTGGTTTAATTCTCTCCTGGGTCAGAGTGAGATTTGTGCTGCCAAATACAGTGCTGCGTGCAATAAACTTGCGTCAGTGAGGTGAATTAAAGGTCTCAATTGCTCAGGATGTAAATCAAATTATTAAACGCAAGCCATTAATAAAAAATAGGCTATTTCATTATTTTAGATGACTGGTTAGAAAAAAACAATGTATAAAATAAGTCAATGAAATAACTTTATTCATGAGTTATTCACTTCTCTTCCAGAGACTGCTCTATGGTTTAAACCATTTTAAACTATTGTCTGACCTGTATAAATTGCTTATATTAAATTGTGTTTACTTGATGTCTGGCTAGCATGCTTCTGAGCCAGCTGTGGTAGCTTGGTAACCGCCCTGACATCAACACTAGAATTTATTGGCACAGTTAGCACGGTTGTCTAACCATGCTTGCAATTCCAGGCTGAGAACAGTTTGTAATCGTGCTACATGGTTCCAGGCTCAGTGGAGAAACAACTGTAACTGTACTGAAGGCTTCTTAAAGGGTCACGAAACACCAAAACACATTTTTTGAGCTGTTGACAGTCGTATATGTGTCCCACACTGCTAAAAACACTATTAGGACACCTATATTTCACTAAAAAGTGTAAATTGGTTGTTTTTGCGTTATTTCAAGCAAATTCGTACTTCCTGTTTGAAACGAATTTTTAAAGCTGCGTCATGGTCATGACATAATAGCGTGTATACCAGCGTGCAGACTGGACGACTGTGCCAGAGTGTGCCTTATTACGTCTTACAGTGTGATGCATTAATGCATGAGTTAGGCTTGGTTCAAACCAATCAGCGCGCTCTATTGTGCAACTTCATTAATATTCATTAGTGTCACCGTCTTTACACCACAGAGACGCCACGTTGTGTTGGCAAAACAAGCGTGAAGTGTTGCTTTTACAGTTCGCTGCCATTAAGTTTCGTTTTCATTTTCTCTCTGTGAGAGCTTATCTGGATCACGTGTGGATTACAGTGTATGCGACGCTCGACAACAATAATTTACGTGTCTAAGGGGGATTATTGTTTACCTGAGAGCTGTTCTCATCTGCAAACGCTGAAATCCGGATTCCAGATGTAGTCTTCTCTTCATAAAGACGCGGCTCTAGTTGCTGGTGATTGTCCTGTCTCTACAGATTTGGTAAGTGAGCGACCAGTGCTCTTTGTATATTCAGTTTGTTCGTATCAAATAAGTTAACTATTGCATTGAGTGCAAACATGTTAGCACCGCATTTTGTGACCGGAATAACACACGCGGCTTTCGGACGCTACCTGCCGTGTGCATCTAAGTTTCCGGGAAATGCTGAGGTTTTTTTTCTGTCATTCGCCGTGCGGTATCAAACATTGCATGAAAAATACACGCTTAGAGCAGTTCCTCGAAACAAATATCTCATTTGTCGCGAGGGGCATGAATGAATTCCCTGAATGAAAGAGCCGAACTGCAGTTAAAGTCCGACATTTAATAATTTGGCAAATAATTCGACTACAGATATCCATGTAGGTTAAACACCATCCCTTTCTCCTGTGTATTTTGACTGAAACTCGCGCGTGCCCAAATAGACACTCCCACACCCTCCCACTTTAGTTTCTCCGACACTCCCCCCTAAACAGAGCTGGACACCCCCACTTTTCTGACTTTTTCCAAAGAAGAGGTGTGAAAACACCCTGCTGAAACGAGGGGGTTTCATGGCCCTTTAAAGGTTTGGCATGATAGTGGGAAAGCAGTTATTTCTTTGAGTTGAGCAGATGACATTTTTATAGTATCTTTGATAAATTAGACTATCAAACCTGCTTTTTAAAATTTAGCATTAAGCTTTTTTTTTTTTTTTTTTTTTTTTTTAAAAAGAGGCTTGGTGACTGCTATTATAAATTTTAGGAACTAATTCTAAAAGTAGGGATGAATTAAACAAACTATTCTTGGATCATCTTTATTACCCAGCATTTTGAATGGTGTCTACTTTTTCTGTACTGGAATATTGCCGTGACCCATACACGTGACCACAATGGTTTCTTTTTTTTCTTTGCTTTTAAAATGAGTTTAGATTAAGCTTGGATCTATATAAAGGGGAGAATTAAATGGCAATTAAATCTTAACCTAAAAATTAACCTAACTCTTTGCTCACCTGTGTCCTGTCCCATATGGACTGTGTGGATGGACTCAAGACCTGTGTGTGAACCTGAAGCCCAGAAAGGCTGGGAATGCATGACCTAAAAAGGTCTAACATCCTTAGTTTCCTCATTAAGAAGCAAGTAGAAAAAATATAGCAGCAAATATGGCCTAACATCAGCAGTAACTAAATTAATGTGGATGAAACGGCCCTAACCAACTCCCACCCCTAAACTGGAAGCTTGGCATGTATTTGGATCATGTTGATACTTTTTTTTATAAATTGTAACTGCACTAACTCAACCATAAGGGGTTTGCTGATTATTCGGATCATTTTAATGTCAGATCATCTATTGGATCTTTTGTGTGTCAGTTTCATCTGTATCTACATCTTGGTCATCTGGATTTCCTTAGTGCAACCTTTTGAAAACTGTCATCAGTTTAACAATCCTTTTATCTCTTTGAACACCAGCCTGTTATCTTGGATCAATATCATTTTCTTGGCTGCTATGTCAGTTGCATCATTTCCATCCACACACCAATCATAGATCTTTCACAAAGATTTCTCAATATTCAGGTCTTTCTTGCATTGTCTTAGCCTGATTTTGAATCCACTTCATCCTACTTTTTTGTAGATCAGAATATACCACTTTCTTACACCTAACACTAACCACAAGGGTTTCTTAACCAATCCTAACCGAACTGCTCAAGCAACAAATCATTTCTTAAAGCATTTAAGAAAAATTGACTAAACCATGTCTACCCTTAAGTCAAACTTAATTGTAAATAACAACCTTCCCTTAAACTTAACCCTAAAACCAGATGTTTTGTAACTGAAGAACATTACATAATTTAACACATCCTAAAAAAAAATCTGGTCAAATATCAAGTTGAGAACATTACCTCTACTAAACTTTACCTCAAATAAACTGATTTAGTAGTTAATTATTAATATATTAATATATTATAAAATAGCGAACTAGGGGTAGAGCGAACTAGGGGTAGAGCGAACTAGGGGTAGAGCGAACTAGGGGTAGAGCGAACTAGGGGTAGAGCGAACTAGGGGTAGAGCGAACTAGGGGTAGAGCGAACTAGGGGTAGAGCGAACTAGGGGTAGAGCGAACTAGGGGTAGAGCGAACTAGGGGTAGAGCGAACTAGGGGTAGAGCGAACTAGGGGTAGAGCGAACTAGGGGTAGAGCGAACTAGGGGTAGAGCGAACTAGGGGTAGAGCGAACTAGGGGTAGAGGGTTAGGGTTAGGGTTAGGGTTAGGGTGAAGAAAAATCCAGAGGTTGGACTGAGTCCATCCCCGGTTATGCACGGTCCATCGACATCAACTGCCCGCCACGCCCGCGGCGTCCGGGTCGGCCGAACGGATCCGAACGACATCGAGAAAGGCCAGCGTCAGCCCGCAACACAACCAAATTGCTGTGAAAAAATTACCCACCTAGTTTTAGGTATGTGTACAGCGCTAATTCAGCATTTGGGGTAGGGTTCGGGGTCTTAGGGTCCCTGATCTTAGGGCTCTAGGCACTTGGGTTAAGTTTTAGGTGTGAAAGGTCACCCGGGTTGGGTTTAGAGGTGTGTTGAAGAGTGCAGTCGATGTTTGTAAATAATAAAGTTTTGTTTTTGTGGACTTAATACATTTATTTTACTTTCCCATGAGATTAAATAATGCGGCTCTCTCCCATTTGCGTTTTGAAATGGAGGCACTAAATATACTGCTCAAACCTGATCGCGACGTTTCGGAGTTTCTTTTCCTTCCTCAGGCTAGTTTGAGCAACTGAATGGCTGGAATACTTCACATCAGCTCATTTATATAGACTTCTCAGTGGGCGTGGCTTCCTAACACTCTCTCTCTCTCTGTTTTCACACTTTCTCGATGTTTCGATTTTTCTCGATGTTCCCAAAACTGAATATCGGCACTTTGTGGTGCGTCATAAACTTAGCGTTATACTTTCTGCTGTCCTGTTGTGTACTTTTTGACACCAATTTATTAAATGTTCCAAGCTGGAGACTCATTTCCCCGACATCGATGGATCCGCCGGCGTTCCCGTCCGCAGCAGGCGAGGTGCAGAGCTGGAGGCACTGGCTGGGTTAGGGTGAAGAAAAATCCAGAGGTTGGACTGAGTCCATCCCCGGTTATGCACGGTCCATCGACATCAACTGCCCGCCACGCCCGCGGCGTCCGGGTCGGCCGAACGGATCCGAACGACATCGAGAAAGGCCAGCGTCAGCCCGCAACACAACCAAATTGCTGTGAAAAAATTACCCACCTAGTTTTAGGTATGTGTACAGCGCTAATTCAGCATTTGGGGTAGGGTTCGGGGTCTTAGGGTCCCTGATCTTAGGGCTCTAGGCACTTGGGTTAAGTTTTAGGTGTGAAAGGTCACCCGGGTTGGGTTTAGAGGTGTGTTGAAGAGTGCAGTCGATGTTTGTAAATAATAAAGTTTTGTTTTTGTGGACTTAATACATTTATTTTACTTTCCCATGAGATTAAATAATGCGGCTCTCTCCCATTTGCGTTTTGAAATGGAGGCACTAAATATACTGCTCAAACCTGATCGCGACGTTTCGGAGTTTCTTTTCCTTCCTCAGGCTAGTTTGAGCAACTGAATGGCTGGAATACTTCACATCAGCTCATTTATATAGACTTCTCAGTGGGCGTGGCTTCCTAACACTCTCTCTCTCTCTGTTTTCACACTTTCTCGATGTTTCGATTTTTCTCGATGTTTCCCAAAACTGAATATCGGCACTTTGTGGTGCGTCATAAACTTAGCGTTATACTTTCTGCTGTCCTGTTGTGTACTTTTTGACACCAATTTATTAAATGTTCCAAGCTGGAGACTCATTTCCCCGACATCGATGGATCCGCCGGCGTTCCCGTCCGCAGCAGGCGAGGTGCAGAGCTGGAGGCACTGGCTGGGTTAGGGTGAAGAAAAATCCAGAGGTTGGACTGAGTCCATCCCCGGTTATGCACGGTCCATCGACATCAACTGCCCGCCACGCCCGCGGCGTCCGGGTCGGCCGAACGGATCCGAACGACATCGAGAAAGGCCAGCGTCAGCCCGCAACACAACCAAATTGCTGTGAAAAAATTACCCACCTAGTTTTAGGTATGTGTATAGCGCTAATTCAGCATTTGGGGTAGGGTTCGGGGTCTTAGGGTCCCTGATCTTAGGGCTCTAGGCACTTGGGTTAAGTTTTAGGTGTGAAAGGTCACCCGGGTTGGGTTTAGAGGTGTGTTGAAGAGTGCAGTCGATGTTTGTAAATAATAAAGTTTTGTTTTTGTGGACTTAATACATTTATTTTACTTTCCCATGAGATTAAATATTGCGGCTCTCTCCCATTTGCGTTTTGAAATGGAGGCACTAAATATACTGCTCAAACCTGATCGCGACGTTTCGGAGTTTCTTTTCCTTCCTCAGGCTAGTTTGAGCAACTGAATGGCTGGAATACTTCACATCAGCTCATTTATATAGACTTCTCAGTGGGCGTGGCTTCCTAACACTCTCTCTCTCTGTTTTCACACTTTCTCGATGTTTCGATTTTTCTCGATGTTTCCCAAAACTGAATATCGGCACTTTGTGGTGCGTCATAAACTTAGCGTTATACTTTCTGCTGTCCTGTTGTGTACTTTTTGACACCAATTTATTAAATGTTCCAAGTTGGAGACTCATTTCCCCGACATCGATGGATCCGCCGGCGTTCCCGTCCGCAGCAGGCGAGGTGCAGAGCTGGAGGCACTGGCTGGGTTAGGGTGAGAAAAAATCCAGAGGTTGGACTGGGTCCATCCCCGGTTATGCACGGTCCATCGACATCAACTGCCCGCCACGCCCGCGGCGTCCGGGTCGGCCGAACGGATCCGAACGACATCGAGAAAGGCCAGCGTCAGCCCGCAACACAACTAAATTGTCGTGAAAAAATTACCCACCAAGTTTTAGGTATGTGTATAGCGCTAATTCAGCATTTGGGGTAGGGTTCGGGGTCTTAGGGTCCCTGCTCTTAGGGCTCTAGGCACTTGGGTTAAGTTTTAGGTGTGAAAGGTCACCCGGGTTGGGTTTAGAGGTGTGTTGAAGAGTGCAGTCGATGTTTGTAAATAATAAAGTTTTGTTTTTGTGGACTTAATACATTTATTTTACTTTCCCATGAGATTAAATATTGCGGCTCTCTCCCATTTGCGTTTTGAAATGGAGGCACTAAATATACTGCTCAAACCTGATCGCGACGTTTCGGAGTTTCTTTTCCTTCCTCAGGCTAGTTTGAGCAACTGAATGGCTGGAATACTTCACATCAGCTCATTTATATAGACTTCTCAGTGGGCGTGGCTTCCTAACACTCTCTCTCTCTGTTTTCACACTTTCTCGATGTTTCGATTTTTCTCGATGTTTCCCAAAACTGAATATCGGCACTTTGTGGTGCGTCATAAACTTAGCGTTACACTTTCTGCTGTCCTGTTGTGTACTTTTTGACACCAATTTATTAAATGTTCCAAGCTGGAGACTCATTTCCCCGACATCGATGGATCCGCCGGCGTTCCCGTCCGCAGCAGGCGAGGTGCAGAGCTGGAGGCACTGGCTGGGTTAGGGTGAGGAAAAATCCAGAGGTTGGACTGGGTCCATCCCCGGTTATGCACGGTCCATCGACATCAACTGCCCGCCACGCCCGCGGCGTCCGGGTCGGCCGAACGGATCCGAACGACATCGAGAAAGGCCAGCGTCAGCCCGCAACACAACCAAGTTGCTGTGAAAAAATTACCCACCAAGTTTTAGGTATGTGTGTAACGCTAATTCAGCGTTTGGGTAGGGTTCGGGGTCTTAGGGTCCCTGGTCTTAGGGCTCTAGGCACTTGGGTTAAGTTTTAGGTGTGAAAGGTCACCCGGGTTGGGTTTAGAGATGTGTTGAAGAGTGCGGTCGATTTTTGTAAATTAATAAAGTTTTGTCTTTGTGGACTTAATACATTTATTTTACTTTCCCATGAGATCAAATAATGTGGCTCTCTCCCATTTGCGTTTTGAAATGGAGGCCCTAAATGTACTGCTCAAACCTGATCGCGACGTTTCGGAGTTTCTTTTCCTTCCTCAGGCTAGTTTGAGCAACTGAATGGCTGGAATACTTCACATCAGCTCATTTATATAGACTTCTCAGTGGGCGTGGCTTCCTAACACTCTCTCTCTCTCTGTTTTCACACTTTCTCGATGTTTCGATTTTTCTCGATGTTTCCCAAAACTGAATATCGGCACTTTGTGGTGCGTCATAAACTTAGCGTTACATTTTCTATTGTCTTGTTGTGTACTTTTTGACATCAATTTATTAAATGCTCCGAGTTGGAGACTCATTTCCCCGACATCGATGGATCCGCCGGCGTTCCCGTCCGCAGCAGGCGAGGTGCAGAGCTGGAGGCACTGGCTGGGTTAGGGTGAGGAAAAATCCAGAGGTTGGACTGAGTCCATCCCCGGTTATGCACGGTCCATCGACATCAACTGCCCGCCACGCCCGCGGCGTCCGAGTCGGCCGAACGGATCCGAACGACATCGAGAAAGGCCAGCGTCAGCCCGCAACACAACCAAGTTGCTGTGAAAAAATTACCCACCAAGTTTTAGGTATGTGTGTAACGCTAATTCAGCGTTTGGGTAGGGTTCGGGGTCTTAGGGTCCCTGGTCTTAGGGCTCTAGGCACTTGGGTTAAGTTTTTAGGTGTGAAAGGTCACCCGGGTTGGGTTTAGAGATGTGTTGAAGAGTGCGGTCGATTTTCTGTAAATTAATAAAGTTTTGTCTTTGTGGACTTAATACATTTATTTTACTTTCCCATGAGATCAAATAATGTGGCTCTCTCCCATTTGCGTTTTGAAATGGAGGCCCTAAATGTACTGCTCAAACCTGATCGCGACGTTTCGGAGTTTCTTTTCCTTCCTCAGGCTAGTTTGAGCAACTGAATGGCTGGAATACTTCACATCAGCTCATTTATATAGACTTCTCAGTGGGCGTGGCTTCCTAACACACTCTCTCTCTCTCTGTTTTCACACTCTTTCTCGATGTTTCGATTTTTCTCGATGTTTCCCAAAACTGAATATCGGCACTTTGTGGTGCGTCATAAACTTAGCGTTACATTTTCTATTGTCTTGTTGTGTACTTTTTGACATCAATTTATTAAATGCTCCGAGTTGGAGACTCATTTCCCCGACATCGATGGATCCGCCGGCGTTCCCGTCCGCAGCAGGCGAGGTGCAGAGCTGGAGGCACTGGCTGGGTTAGGGTGAGGAAAAATCCAGAGGTTGGACTGAGTCCATCCCCGGTTATGCACGGTCCATCGACATCAACTGCCCGCCACGCCCGCGGCGTCCGAGTCGGCCGAACGGATCCGAACGACATCGAGAAAGGCCAGCGTCAGCCCGCAACACAACCAAGTTGCTGTGAAAAAATTACCCACCAAGTTTTAGGTATGTGTGTAACGCTAATTCAGCGTTTGGGTAGGGTTCGGGGTCTTAGGGTCCCTGGTCTTAGGGCTCTAGGCACTTGGGTTAAGTTTTTAGGTGTGAAAGGTCACCCGGGTTGGGTTTAGAGATGTGTTGAAGAGTGCGGTCGATTTTCTGTAAATTAATAAAGTTTTGTCTTTGTGGACTTAATACATTTATTTTACTTTCCCATGAGATCAAATAATGTGGCTCTCTCCCATTTGCGTTTTGAAATGGAGGCCCTAAATGTACTGCTCAAACCTGATCGCGACGTTTCGGAGTTTCTTTTCCTTCCTCAGGCTAGTTTGAGCAACTGAATGGCTGGAATACTTCACATCAGCTCATTTATATAGACTTCTCAGTGGGCGTGGCTTCCTAACACTCTCTCTCTCTCTGTTTTCACACTTTCTCGATGTTTCGATTTTTCTCGATGTTTCCCAAAACTGAATATCGGCACTTTGTGGTGCGTCATAAACTTAGCGTTACACTTTCTGCTGTCTTGTTGTGTACTTTTTGACATCAATTTATAAAATGTTCCAAGCTGGAGACTCATTTCCCCGACATCGATGGATCCGCCGGCGTTCCCGTCCGCAGCAGGCGAGGTGCAGAGCTGGAGGCACTGGCTGGGTTAGGGTGAGGAAAAATCCAGAGGTTGGACTGAGTCCATCCCCGGTTATGCACGGTCCATCGACATCAACTGCCCGCCACGCCCGCGGCGTCCGAGTCGGCCGAACGGATCCGAACGACATCGAGAAAGGCCAGCGTCAGCCCGCAACACAACTAAGTTGCTGTGAAAAAATTACCCACCTAGTTTTAGGTATGTGTATAGCGCTAATTCAGCGTTTGGGGTAGGGTTCGGGGTCTTAGGGTCCCTGATCTTAGGGCTCTAGGCACTTGGGTTAAGTTTTAGGTGTGAAAGGTCACCCGGGTTGGGTTTAGAGATGTGTTGAAGAGTGCGGTCGATTTTTGTAAATTAATAAAGTTTTGTCTTTGTGGACTTAATACATTTATTTTACTTTCCCATGAGATCAAATAATGTGGCTCTCTCCCATTTGCGTTTTGAATGGAGGCCCTAAATGTACTGCTCAAACCTGATCGCGACGTTTCGGAGTTTCTTTTCCTTCCTCAGGCTAGTTTGAGCAACTGAATGGCTGGAATACTTCACATCAGCTCATTTATATAGACTTCTCAGTGGGCGTGGCTTCCTAACACTCTCTCTCTCTCTGTTTTCACACTTTCTCGATGTTTCGATTTTTCTCGATGTTTCCCAAAACTGAATATCGGCACTTTGTGGTGCGTCATAAACTTAGCGTTACATTTTCTATTGTCTTGTTGTGTACTTTTTGACATCAATTTATTAAATGCTCCGAGTTGGAGACTCATTTCCCCGACATCGATGGATCCGCCGGCGTTCCCGTCCGCAGCAGGCGAGGTGCAGAGCTGGAGGCACTGGCTGGGTTAGGGTGAGGAAAAATCCAGAGGTTGGACTGAGTCCATCCCCGGTTATGCACGGTCCATCGACATCAACTGCCCGCCACGCCCGCGGCGTCCGAGTCGGCCGAACGGATCGAACGACATCGAGAAAGGCCAGCGTCAGCCCGCAACACAACCAAGTTGCTGTGAAAAAATTACCCACCAAGTTTTAGGTATGTGTGTAACGCTAATTCAGCGTTTGGGTAGGGTTCGGGGTCTTAGGGTCCCTGGTCTTAGGGCTCTAGGCACTTGGGTTAAGTTTTAGGTGTGAAAGGTCACCCGGGTTGGGTTTAGAGATGTGTTGAAGAGTGCGGTCGATTTTTGTAAATTAATAAAGTTTTGTCTTTGTGGACTTAATACATTTATTTTACTTTCCCATGAGATCAAATAATGTGGCTCTCTCCCATTTGCGTTTTGAAATGGAGGCCCTAATGTACTGCTCAAACCTGATCGCGACGTTTCGGAGTTTCTTTTCCTTCCTCAGGCTAGTTTGAGCAACTGAATGGCTGGAATACTTCACATCAGCTCATTTATATAGACTTCTCAGTGGGCGTGGCTTCCTAACACTCTCTCTCTCTCTGTTTTCACACTTTCTCGATGTTTCGATTTTTCTCGATGTTTCCCAAAACTGAATATCGGCACTTTGTGGTGCGTCATAAACTTAGCGTTACATTTTCTATTGTCTTGTTGTGTACTTTTTGACATCAATTTATTAAATGCTCCGAGTTGGAGACTCATTTCCCCGACATCGATGGATCCGCCGGCGTTCCCGTCCGCAGCAGGCGAGGTGCAGAGCTGGAGGCACTGGCTGGGTTAGGGTGAGGAAAAATCCAGAGGTTGGACTGAGTCCATCCCCGGTTATGCACGGTCCATCGACATCAACTGCCCGCCACGCCCGCGGCGTCCGAGTCGGCCGAACGGATCCGAACGACATCGAGAAAGGCCAGCGTCAGCCCGCAACACAACCAAGTTGCTGTGAAAAAATTACCCACCAAGTTTTAGGTATGTGTGTAACGCTAATTCAGCGTTTGGGTAGGGTTCGGGGTCTTAGGGTCCCTGGTCTTAGGGCTCTAGGCACTTGGGTTAAGTTTTAGGTGTGAAAGGTCACTCGGGTTGGGTTTAGAGGTGTGTTGAAGAGTGCAGTCGATGTTTGTAAATAATAAAGTTTTGCCTTTGTGGACTTAATACATTTATTTTACTTTCCCATGAGATTAAATATTGCGGCTCTCTCCCATTTGCGTTTTGAATGGAGGCACTAAATATACTGCTCAAACCTGATCGCGACGTTTCGGAGTTTCTTTTCCTTCCTCAGGCTAGTTTGAGCAACTGAATGGCTGGAATACTTCACATCAGCTCATTTATATAGACTTCTCAGTGGGCGTGGCTTCCTAACACTCTCTCTCTCTGTTTTCACACTTTCTCGATGTTTCGATTTTTCTCGATGTTTCCCAAAACTGAATATCGGCACTTTGTGGTGCGTCATAAACTTAGCGTTATACTTTCTGCTGTCCTGTTGTGTACTTTTTGACACCAATTTATTAAATGTTCCAAGTTGGAGACTCATTTCCCCGACATCGATGGATCCGCCGGCGTTCCCGTCCGCAGCAGGCGAGGTGCAGAGCTGGAGGCACTGGCTGGGTTAGGGTGAGAAAAAATCCAGAGGTTGGACTGGGTCCATCCCCGGTTATGCACGGTCCATCGACATCACTGCCCGCCACGCCCGCGGCGTCCGAGTCGGCCGAACGGATCCGAACGACATCGAGAAAGGCCAGCGTCAGCCCGCAACACAACCAAGTTGCTGTGAAAAAATTACCCACCAAGTTTTAGGTATGTGTGTAACGCTAATTCAGCGTTTGGGTAGGGTTCGGGGTCTTAGGGTCCCTGGTCTTAGGGCTCTAGGCACTTGGGTTAAGTTTTAGGTGTGAAAGGTCACCCGGGTTGGGTTTAGAGATGTGTTGAAGAGTGCGGTCGATTTTTGTAAATTAATAAAGTTTTGTCTTTGTGGACTTAATACATTTATTTTACTTTCCCATGAGATCAAATAATGTGGCTCTCTCCCATTTGCGTTTTGAAATGGAGGCCCTAAATGTACTGCTCAAACCTGATCGCGACGTTTCGGAGTTTCTTTTCCTTCCTCAGGCTAGTTTGAGCAACTGAATGGCTGGAATACTTCACATCAGCTCATTTATATAGACTTCTCAGTGGGCGTGGCTTCCTAACACTCTCTCTCTCTCTGTTTTCACACTTTCTCGATGTTTCGATTTTTCTCGATGTTTCCCAAAACTGAATATCGGCACTTTGTGGTGCGTCATAAACTTAGCGTTACATTTTCTATTGTCTTGTTGTGTACTTTTTGACATCAATTTATTAAATGCTCCGAGTTGGAGACTCATTTCCCCGACATCGATGGATCCGCCGGCGTTCCCGTCCGCAGCAGGCGAGGTGCAGAGCTGGAGGCACTGGCTGGGTTAGGGTGAGGAAAAATCCAGAGGTTGGACTGAGTCCATCCCCGGTTATGCACGGTCCATCGACATCAACTGCCCGCCACGCCCGCGGCGTCCGAGTCGGCCGAACGGATCCGAACGACATCGAGAAAGGCAGCGTCAGCCCGCAACACAACCAAGTTGCTGTGAAAAAATTACCCACCAAGTTTTAGGTATGTGTGTAACGCTAATTCAGCGTTTGGGTAGGGTTCGGGGTCTTAGGGTCCCTGGTCTTAGGGCTCTAGGCACTTGGGTTAAGTTTTAGGTGTGAAAGGTCACCCGGGTTGGGTTTAGAGATGTGTTGAAGAGTGCGGTCGATTTTTGTAAATTAATAAAGTTTTGTCTTTGTGGACTTAATACATTTATTTTACTTTCCCATGAGATCAAATAATGTGGCTCTCTCCCATTTGCGTTTTGAAATGGAGGCCCTAAATGTACGCTCAAACCTGATCGCGACGTTTCGGAGTTTCTTTTCCTTCCTCAGGCTAGTTTGAGCAACTGAATGGCTGGAATACTTCACATCAGCTCATTTATATAGACTTCTCAGTGGGCGTGGCTTCCTAACACTCTCTCTCTCTCTGTTTTCACACTTTCTCGATGTTTCGATTTTTCTCGATGTTTCCCAAAACTGAATATCGGCACTTTGTGGTGCGTCATAAACTTAGCGTTACATTTTCTATTGTCTTGTTGTGTACTTTTTGACATCAATTTATTAAATGCTCCGAGTTGGAGACTCATTTCCCCGACATCGATGGATCCGCCGGCGTTCCCGTCCGCAGCAGGCGAGGTGCAGAGCTGGAGGCACTGGCTGGGTTAGGGTGAGGAAAAATCCAGAGGTTGGACTGAGTCCATCCCCGGTTATGCACGGTCCATCGACTCAACTGCCCGCCACGCCCGCGGCGTCCGAGTCGGCCGAACGGATCCGAACGACATCGAGAAAGGCCAGCGTCAGCCCGCAACACAACCAAGTTGCTGTGAAAAAATTACCCACCAAGTTTTAGGTATGTGTGTAACGCTAATTCAGCGTTTGGGTAGGGTTCGGGGTCTTAGGGTCCCTGGTCTTAGGGCTCTAGGCACTTGGGTTAAGTTTTAGGTGTGAAAGGTCACCCGGGTTGGGTTTAGAGATGTGTTGAAGAGTGCGGTCGATTTTTGTAAATTAATAAAGTTTTGTCTTTGTGGACTTAATACATTTATTTTACTTTCCCATGAGATCAAATAATGTGGCTCTCTCCCATTTGCGTTTTGAAATGGAGGCCCTAAATGTACTGCTCAAACCTATCGCGACGTTTCGGAGTTTCTTTTCCTTCCTCAGGCTAGTTTGAGCAACTGAATGGCTGGAATACTTCACATCAGCTCATTTATATAGACTTCTCAGTGGGCGTGGCTTCCTAACACTCTCTCTCTCTCTGTTTTCACACTTTCTCGATGTTTCGATTTTTCTCGATGTTTCCCAAAACTGAATATCGGCACTTTGTGGTGCGTCATAAACTTAGCGTTACATTTTCTATTGTCTTGTTGTGTACTTTTTGACATCAATTTATTAAATGCTCCGAGTTGGAGACTCATTTCCCCGACATCGATGGATCCGCCGGCGTTCCCGTCCGCAGCAGGCGAGGTGCAGAGCTGGAGGCACTGGCTGGGTTAGGGTGAGGAAAAATCCAGAGGTTGGACTGAGTCCATCCCCGGTTATGCACGGTCCATCGACATCAACTGCCCGCCACGCCCGCGGCGTCCGAGTCGGCCGAACGGATCCGAACGACATCGAGAAAGGCCAGCGTCAGCCCGCAACACAACCAAGTTGCTGTGAAAAAATTACCCACCAAGTTTTAGGTATGTGTGTAACGCTAATTCAGCGTTTGGGTAGGGTTCGGGGTCTTAGGGTCCCTGGTCTTAGGGCTCTAGGCACTTGGGTTAAGTTTTAGGTGTGAAAGGTCACCCGGGTTGGGTTTAGAGATGTGTTGAAGAGTGCGGTCGATTTTTGTAAATTAATAAAGTTTTGTCTTTGTGGACTTAATACATTTATTTTACTTTCCCATGAGATCAAATAATGTGGCTCTCTCCCATTTGCGTTTTGAAATGGAGGCCCTAAATGTACTGCTCAAACCTGATCGCGACGTTTCGGAGTTTCTTTTCCTTCCTCAGGCTAGTTTGAGCAACTGAATGGCTGGAATACTTCACATCAGCTCATTTATATAGACTTCTCAGTGGGCGTGGCTTCCTAACACTCTCTCTCTCTCTGTTTTCACACTTTCTCGATGTTTCGATTTTTCTCGATGTTTCCCAAAACTGAATATCGGCACTTTGTGGTGCGTCATAAACTTAGCGTTACATTTTCTATTGTCTTGTTGTGTACTTTTTGACATCAATTTATTAAATGTTCCGAGTTGGAGACTCATTTCCCCGACATCGATGGATCCGCCGGCGTTCCCGTCCGCAGCAGGCGAGGTGCAGAGCTGGAGGCACTGGCTGGGTTAGGGTGAGAAAAAATCCAGAGGTTGGACTGGGTCCATCCCCGGTTATGCACGGTCCATCGACATCAACTGCCCGCCACGCCCGCGGCGTCCGGGTCGGCCGAACGGATCCGAACGACATCGAGAAAGGCCAGCGTCAGCCCGCAACACAACTAAATTGTCGTGAAAAAATTACCCACCAAGTTTTAGGTATGTGTATAGCGCTAATTCAGCATTTGGGGTAGGGTTCGGGGTCTTAGGGTCCCTGCTCTTAGGGCTCTAGGCACTTGGGTTAAGTTTTAGGTGTGAAAGGTCACCCGGGTTGGGTTTAGAGGTGTGTTGAAGAGTGCAGTCGATGTTTGTAAATAATAAAGTTTTGTTTTTGTGGACTTAATACATTTATTTTACTTTCCCATGAGATTAAATATTGCGGCTCTCTCCCATTTGCGTTTTGAAATGGAGGCACTAAATATACTGCTCAAACCTGATCGCGACGTTTCGGAGTTTCTTTTCCTTCCTCAGGCTAGTTTGAGCAACTGAATGGCTGGAATACTTCACATCAGCTCATTTATATAGACTTCTCAGTGGGCGTGGCTTCCTAACACTCTCTCTCTCTGTTTTCACACTTTCTCGATGTCTCGATTTTTCTCGATGTTTCCCAAACTGAATATCGGCACTTTGTGGTGCGTCATAAACTTAGCG